CTAAAACCTCATCTCTGAGGGCTGTATAATGCCCCACTTACTGGCCTCAGAAGTGCTTTCGGTTAGTGTATAATCTTGTCTTTAAGTGTAATTATCAATCAACATTTCTGCTCGATTGACAGTCTTTGTCTTAAAAAGAGCAACCTTTATCTTAACCGTATTTTCTCTTTCACAGACACTTCTTTATCTCAGTCATATTTTCTCTTTCACGGACACCTATTTATCTGAATTGTATTTTCTCTTTCACAGACCCGTTTTTATCTCAGTCAAATTTTATCTTTCACGGACACGTCTTTATCTCAGTCATATTTTCTTTCACAGACCCGTTTTTAGCTCAGTCATATTTCTCTTTCACGGACACGTCTTTATCTCAGACATATTTTCTTTCTTACTGACACGTCTTTCTCTTAATCACATTTTCTCTTTCATAGACACGTCTTTATCCCAATCAAATTTTATCTTTCACAGACACGCCTTTATCTTAATTATATTTGTTTTTCACTGACACGCCTTTATCCTAATTATATTTCTCTTTCACAGACACGCCTTTATCTCAATCATATTTTCTCTTTCACAGACACGCCTTTATCCTAATTATATTTCTCTTTCACAGACATGCCTTTATCTCAGTCATACTTTTCCTTTCACAGCCATGGCTTTATCTCATTCATACTTTTCTTTTTCACAGACACGCCTTTATCTCAGTCATTCTTTTCCTTTCACAGACACGCATTTTTTCCAGTCGTATTTTCTCTTTAGACAGAAACGCCTTTAGCTTAATCATACATTCTGGCAACCTTTTGTTTTTATACATTCTTCCAGCCGGCCCGACTTTATCTAAATCGTATATTATTTCAACAGACGTGCTTCCCTCTTAATCCTAAATTTGTTCAACATACTTGCCTCTGTCATTAGTCTTATATTTAGTAATCTGAAACTGTTGTATGGCAGGGCAGACCAGACCCTTTCGCTTAGTTAACATCTTGTCGAGGGTCAATGCTCTGACAGGCGGACAGACAGCGCACTGCTCTTCTGATCCAGCAGCCTGAGTTGTTCCAACATTTCGGTGTTACCTTTCTTTTGGAGTAAACAAGGGATCAGGAGAGACATGATCTCTACAATGTCTTCCAGACTTTGTGCTATGAAGATCTGTACGCTACTCGCATGACTCTCTATCCACGACTGACGGGCCGTGCTGCTGACGTCACCTGGTCGGGCTAACGATGTGTTAACACAGCGGTTCTGAAACAAGATATGAACTATTTTCGACAGTGGCCAGGGAAGACAACTTGAATATTACATTTTAAGTATCGACATGCCTTCTTTAATAATTTCACAATTTTTAGCCGAATTTTCTTAATTATTGCCGCGCCACCCCTGGCATACGCTCACGGCACCTCGGAGTGCCTCGGTACCCAGTTTAAGAACAGCTGCGTTAACGCGTCGTTAGCCTTATCCGGTGACGTCAGCAGCATGCCTTGTCAACTGGAGTCGGTCGTGCCCTATCTCAGAATATAGCGGTATCGTCTAGGAAGATGGCAAGATTCTAAGAGTATTTTTTTTTTTAAACAAACCTTCTTTCATCTTTAGCCATTGATGGCATCTAAAAGTCCAGACTTTCGTCTTGTTGTTTGCAACGAAAGAGCTGATAGATTGGCCGGTTATGCTTAAGTTGCAGAAAGCTGACCTGATAGGTAGGACCCCAGTTAGATAGGATCATTGGAGGATTTTTGAAACAGTGTGTCCACATCACTGCTAGGAATGTAACTATTAGGATTAACGTTGCTTCTTTTGTTTCAATTAGCCACGTTTAAGCTCTGACCAAGGAGCTAGACTCGTCCTAGTCAATATCGGTTATAATTACAGCAACAGATTGTGTTGCCGTTTCATTGTGTAATGTTTGGTGCTAGTATGTATGTCTTCCGTGTCTATCTGGCCCGGTCAGGTCGTGCCGGCCTCATTGTGCAGATTTAGCTTTGATTAATTCATGTGTTCCTTATTGTGCCATCCGCTGACGGTGTTACTGCCATTGATTGGTCTACCTCCTGAGTTGTTCCTGGTGATATTTCTGTACCAGTTCTTTGTGTTGTTTTAAAGTAAAGTAAAGGACCCTTTTCCGCGTCTTTAGGCGTATAGGGCGTATAGGACTAGACCTATTTTTTTATAGACCAATCGGCACAAGATGGGTGATGTTGTCAGCATCACGTCGGCCGCCTTTACTTCCCGGGACTGCACCCGGTACCCACTCAAGGCTGGGTCGACCTGAAAGCCAAGGTCATTTTTGAAAAAAGTCCGGCTCCGCCAGGGATCGAACCCACGACCTTCTGATCCGCTGCGAGCGTCTAGCCGTTCCGCCATGGGGACCCCCTTGTGTTGTTTTAGTAACTGTAATCGCTGTTGTTCCGCAGTTAGGTCCTCTGGTGCTATCACGATCTGGATCAAACTTCTTCAACGTTGTCGATATGTCTTCTTTGTCCATTTCGCCATACGAGAAGTTCTAGGCCGTCATCCTTTTGCCTGCTTAGAGTTTTTCTTGTTTGTATCGGGACAACCACGCAAGTCTGACAGCTCTCCCGCCTCATGTACTTTCATATTTAAGGAGTCACTTATATCCTGTGCCTATCCTCGTGTCAGTCAGCCCCTGCCCCTCCTTCCTGGTACCATGCCTTCTGATATACAATTTTTCCAATCCTTTGTGGCACTTGAAATGTCCAAAATATTTCAGCTTCCGAGACAGGATGCTGCTTATTAGCCAATCTTCTTTCATGTTCAGATTTTTCAAGATGTCAGTATCCTCTTCTTTGTCCAAGATATTCTGAAAATCTTTCTATAGCATTTCAGCTCAAAATGTCCTATTCTCTTTCTTAAGGATTGGGAGATAGTCCACGACGCCCATCCATATGAGTTTCTTGGGTTAGTAATGTGGTAGTTTCCCCTTGCTTTCCACATCGACATGGCTTTGGACTATGTACTCAGCCTTCAGCAACCTTTTCGATTGCTAGGGCAAGTGAGTGCCCTCGAAAACAAATAGCAATTGAAAAACAATAAACAGTGAAATTCGCTTAAGAAGAATAAAGTTGTGATTCTTGAAGAGATGTTTTATTTTAGTTCTGGATGGACACGAGTACTGATAGCACGAATTCTTGATTGTTTCTTCTTTTGGAATTCGTGTTAATGAGTTTTCACTGTTTAGCGGCCCAATTCAAGACTTCGTCTTCTTAAAGCCTATGCTGTGTGGCGTTGGTAGTCATGTCTATCTACAACCTTCTGTCTCGCGTACTTTCAGTCAATCTGACACAGATGATCTTCCATAGTCCATGCCGTGTGGCGTTGGTAGTCACGTCTATCTACAACCTTCTGTCTCGCGTACTTTCAGTCAATCTGACACAGATGATCTTCAATGCCTTAATGTCAGACTGTCCAGCATCTTTTCTCTCGGTCTCCCTCTGCTTCTCCTCTCTTCCAGCTTTCCTACTGTCACGATGAACTCCAGTTTTCTCCTTCTAATATTTCCCTCCACGACATTTTTAAGCTTTTCTTGCAAAATCTATATTCATTTTATTCTTACAGAGGATTGCCTAGGTGACACCTGGTTACATTAGTATGGAGGCTCTTTGCTGGATGTTAAGGAGAGAGGCTGAGCTATATTAAGCTTGTCCTGAATGCAACTGACCAGACTGCAAGAACAGCATGTTAAAAGTGGTGTGGCCAGATAAATGCACAATGCAGGAAGCCAAAGAAGAATAAGAGACCAAAACAGAACTGATGTCGTCAGCCTCTACAAGCTACGGAAGTTGTCAAGGAGGCAATCCGAGCACTTATGAACTGAACAGTTCGATTTGCAATGATTATAATCTGTCGACTAACTAACAAACTAACTGACTGACTAGCTGACTGACTGACTAACTGAATGCTGTGATGTCGAATCTTTACTCAGATAAACCCATATTCTATGACCTACTTCTCCTCCCTACGGTATTCTTGCCTTTATTCTTCACAAGCAATGGAATGTTTTCTTTGTGTATTTTCTAACAGACAAGCAATGCCGGGAAAATGAAGTGTATTCTCTTGACGCCAGCGAAGATCGCGAATGCTTTGACAAACCAGCTGTCGTAAAGGGCTGTGAACACCCGCGTCGTGAAGGCTGCAGGTGCATAGAGGATTACAGAAGGCTCAACGGTATTTGTGTGCCCGAATCCAGGTGTGGCATCAATGTGGAGACTTACGACGTTTTGCCTCAGTACCTTCCAGTAAGTGTTACGGTGTAACTTCTAGGCTCCCATCTTTGTTAGTTTTGAAATACTGGGTCCAGTTCCGAAAATGTTTGAGACATTGCACACATTTATACTCACAAAGGGAAAAAACAAAACACACAAATATGGAATTATCCACCTAAAGTGCTAGACTGCCTTTAAGTGTGGATATATCGCACAAAAAAGTGGGAACATTGACCCCCAAATACTTGGCTCCCATCACACCAGCGGGGTAATATTGATCCCAAAATCTTTGTATTCCATAGCAAAAAGCCTGAAAATATTGACCCCAAAATCATTGTATTCCATCGTGGAAATATTGACTCCAAAATACTTGGGTTCTACTGGAAAAAGCCTGAAAATATTGACCCCAAAATCTTTGTATTCCACCGTGGAAATATTGACTCCAAAATACTTGGGTTCTACTGCAAACAGCCTGAAAATATTGACCCCCCTAAAAAAAGCAAGGAAATATGGGCGACAGCCCTTGTTATTCGTTGTAAAAACAAACAAGGTTTTGGAATCGAATCCACATCAGAGTTAAAAGCGAGTATCTCATCGACTGCGCTAACGCGGCCCCTTTTTGTAGAATTATGGAAGGACGTAACTATTAAAGAATAGAAAACACATCGGCAAATAGACAGCTACTGTGGAACCTACGGTCTCTGACTCGTGTTTACAGATCCCTTGTATGAACCGATTTACTTTATTTAACGATCTCAATTCTCGCAGGTAGGTCACTCGGCCATGATTGCAGGCTGCCGAGAGGCAGTGAACTGTACTGAGGACGAAACTGGAACTATTTCTGCTGAAGTTGTCGCTGTTAGCATCCCAGAGAATGCGCACTGTGACACAAATGACGTTAAATGCGACGCTGGTTTTCAATGGTCCGCCGATCGTTCCAAGTGCATCAGTAAGATATTTGTTATGTGTTATAAAGTTCTTATTAGTAACATATTCGTTATAATTTGATACGTGTGATAATGTTCCCCTCGTTACCATATTTGTGTGAAAAAATAATGTCCTTAGTAAAATATTCGTTATTATAAGGTATTTATTTTAATGTTCTCATCAGTAACATATCTGTCATCTTATCATATGTGTTATAATGTTCTTATCAGTAACATATTTGTTATCATATCATGTGTGTTATAATCTTCTCCCTAGTAATATTTTTGTTATCATATCATATGTGTTATAATGTTTTCATCAGTAACATATTAGTTATCATATCATATGTGTTTTAATCTTCTCACCAGTAGTGTATATGTTATCATATCATATGTGTTTTAATGTTCTGATCAGTAACATGTACGTAATACAGTTTCTAATATAAGATATTAGTAATAGTATTATAATAAGTACAATGTGTATTTTTTACATTCTGTGGATGTAATGGACCATACGTGTCCTACAGGAGTTGCTTTGGCCTAGCGGTTAAAAGCTTGCGTGCGGATCAGAAGATCGTGGGTTCACTCCCTAGCGGAGCTGGACTTTTTTCAGAAATGACCATGACTCCCATGTCGACCCTTCCTTGGGTGGGTACGGGGTGCAGTCATGGGAAGCACATCACCCATCTAGTGACCGTTTTTGTTGTTGTTGTTGTGATAATGGTGGTGGTTGTGGTTGCAGTAGTACTGGTACTGGATGGGAGATGTGGTAGCTGTTACACTGGCTACATTTACTTCTTTGTACAGGTTAATGCTACCTATTTCAGTGCCGATTGGTCTATAAAATATAGGTCTATCCCTATATGCCCTTTCACCTAAAGGTGTGGAAAAAAGACCTTTACTTACTTTTTTTTAAACTTACATATGGGACCTTGTTTTAAATAACTGAAGCAAACATTCAAGACATTTCTGCAACTTCCCGGCTGTGTTCTGGAACCCCATGGGGGTAAGGGGTGGGGGGGGGGGGAGAGAGGTATAGACCCCATAACCTTTTACAGCATGTCATAAAATGTGACTGCTTAAGGATGTTTCCTTCGAAACCGGTGTGCATCTGCCTGATCGGCGACAAAGTTTTACAATGTCTGCACTGAAAGCTAATAGTATAGTCTGGTAGTCTTAGTGTCAGCTTCATAGCTAACGGGTCCCCCCCCCCCCCCCCCCAATCGTTGCTCTGCTCCTGTGGTAACGAAAAACACACAGAATATTTATCACAGTCCCTTGTGGAAAGATTGACAGACTGCTGTCTCAGCATATTTAGCATACACACGCATTAAAAGCATACAGAAGCCATCTGAAGTGCCAACACACGCAGTCCAAAAGCTTCTGCACTGAAAGCTGCTTCATAATGGTAATGACAGAACCGATCAGCTGGCAAGTAAGGCACCAGTGCAAATACGAAGGAGCACGGACAGAGCTGACATCATCAACGCTGTACTTACTAGATTCAGGGATAATAACGAATCTGTGACGCTAACACGACTGCGTGACTGATGAGTAAAGCTTAGTGAAGCACCACTATGTTGTCTTCGAGGTAAAGACAGGGGATATTATGACAAAATCCTCATGGAAACAATAAGTAGAGGTACTTTGGAGTGGCTGCTGCAACGCAGGACTGAGAACGCATGAGGATGCCCAGTTAGCAAAGACGTCGATTGCAATAACAAAATATAACTTCAGAAACATTATCACAGTACAACGTAATCTGGCGAGTCCAAGTAGGTGTACTGCATTGTAGTTACAGTTAATATTGACTGACACGTTAAATCCACAGAGAAACCAAATGAATGCCCGGAGGGCTTTAAGTCTGAGGGCAAACAGTGTACCCTTGCCTCTCCTGAGAAGGTCGCTTGGCCACAGGCAGTAGATTTTTGCAACAGAAAAAATTCAGATCTCATAAATATTGATGGACCAGAGGATGAGGCGAAAGTCAAAAACTTCCTCACAGAGCTGGGCCTTGGTAAGCGGAACTGTTGTATTTGTTTTGTCTTTCAATTTGCAGATTTGTATTTCCTTCAGAAATGGCACTGGTTCCCAGTCGACTTAGCCTTAAACGGGTACTAATTAAAGTCGGCTAAGCCTTAAACGGGTACTAGTTAACGTCGACTTAGCCTTAAACAGGTACTAGTTAAAGTCGGCATGTTGACTACTTCACCCGCCTAGTGTCTGTAACGCTGTATAAAACTGGCTGTCACCCAATAATAAAAATAAATGATTAGGAATTCGAAAATGTCACAAACTTTGAATATCGAGGCTTTATAATAAATAGCAGTGGAGACCGTTTGACAGAAATCAAAAGGAGAATGGAGGGCTTTAAGTCTTCT